ATCGAAGTTTACACGACCAGCTACACCAACAGAAACCGCCCAACACTGGAAGATCGAGGAAATAGGTGAAGCCCAACGTCTTATCTGCGACTCCGTAAACGAAATTTTGGCTTCAACCATCAACATAGACGACCTACCACACGTGCTATATGTACAAATCCATATTGATCATGGTATCATCTCCGAGGAGGACAAGATATGTATGCGCCAAGAACTCAGCAACCTCCGCCAGAAGGACGATAAAACCATGGACATATTCTTGATGAGACTAGCAGCAAGTCTTCAGACCGCAATAAAATACACCTACAACTAAGTGACAGTGAGAAACGGTACATTCTCAACACTGCAATGTATAAGAAATACTTGCATATTACCTCCAATCTGATGACTAACAACGCCCTCGTAGGAAATTTCTCGGAATCAATACAATACACAAAACGAGTTGCAGCAGAGATCGACGCCAAAATAATTTCAACGCCAACAATGACGACTACCCCAGCATTTGCGGCAGTCACAAACCTTCGCTGTTACAATTGTGACAACATCGGCCACCGTGCCCAAGAACAACGTAAGCCCAAACATCAGCGTAGATACAACAACAATCATGACTACTGATAGCCCAACCGACCCTACAACCGTTCAGACAACCGATACAGAAACGTGCCGAACAACGGTAGGAACACCCAATCATACGCCAACTCGGCCATCACACCAGACGTTGTATACGATCTCCTACAAAAATTACACGAAAACTAAAGCCGTCAAGACTCTTGAATGACAAGCGCGAACTCCACACACACATACGGACACTCTCCCACCCTCCCTCACCACAGCCACCCTTCCTCCCACCGCCCCCACCCTCCCGCCTACCACGCCCCTGCCCAAGCACCCAATAACCACACTCTTCTACCATTCCCAACACCGGACTATGACCATTACTTTTGACTCACTGATGCCACACCAACATACGCTGCAAACGTCACAACAGAACACGATCCATGCACTGCAACATCAACACAAACACAACCAGAATTCCTACTTGCCGTAAACTCTTGCGTAACCAAACATATACTCTCACCCGACATCCATACACACGCACTTCACATCATATCAGCACTCAACACAAATATCACAGTATGCGCCACCTACGGTGCTACATTTATGTCAAAGTACACAGCAAATCTATACAACCTTGGTGTCGCACTATTAGACGAACAATTTACACTACCACTACTAAGTGTTCGTCTGCTAACATACAGCGGCTACATATTCATATTCATCAAGACCAGCCTTACCATCATACGACCCGATCGCAAATTCATACACATAGAGGCGAACACGGATCACATCTACTTAGTCAACCTATTTGACCTCTTACCTAAACCAGACCATGCACGTGTTACTTGGCACCAACGCCTCAGACTGTAAGATTCGGTCCAATAAAGGCGATACTAATGCCTTAGAATAAATAAATGCATAGGTACATTCTATATATCGTGTAAATATCGATATAAATAAACGAAATGAGACGTTTAATAAAGTTAGGTTTGCCTCGTGAAAACAGCAATACTCTGAGGGATTGTGAGGCTGAGACATTGCCTATATATAATCCTCTCAGTACTGTCTCCGCCGAAGGGATTTTATTTAGTGTTTCGTTGTCGCTCTATTCTGGGGCGAATCCGATAGACTCATAAAATCCTATCTTTAGATAAAATAAATATAAATAAAAATACTCTTGACGTCTTCAGTTATTGTCTTAACCAATAATTTGCCACTATCAAGAATTACCGACTTAGCCTTCATCAGACTGGCACATCTGGTTGGCTTATCAGAGGATCAACTAGGTAACGTTAATAGTCCCTAGAAACCTATATTCGGTTGAGCCATCTCGCTACCGAAGTATTCACTTATAAATAAAATTGGAAAGTAAATAGTGCTCTATTAATAGAACTAGACCAACTCTTTTATGTTTGGTATTTTACTGAGGCCTTTTAATGGCCTCATCCAAATATCTGATATGTTAAATGGAAAAGGTTTAATTGATAAAACCAGTAAAACCCATTTTAGGAAACTTAAGTTCCTCGTACTATTAAGAGTACATTTAGGAAACTTAAGTTCCTCGTACTATTAAGAGTACGTAGTCTCTCCACATTTTTGATTACCTCTTCTGCAACTAAATAAATAAATAAAATGATTACCTCTTCTTTTTTTTCTTTTTTTTATAATTTGCGTACTGCTTAAGAGTACGTTTATACATCAGAGTCTAATGTGGAGGCCCGGCTTATTACAGGACACACTTCAAAAGTCCCATAAAACCCTAAACCCATGCGACAATTGCACCCAAGCAAACAAACGCAACAAACCTACCTCCAATGGCAGACACAATGAGACATCGACCAAACCCCTGAACCTAGTCCTGAGCGACATAATCGGCCCATACACACCAACCATGCACAACGAACGCTACGCCTTGACACTGATCGACGATAACTCCCGTTACTGCATCTTAACGTTGCTGAAGGGTATGGCTCAATGGGTTACTGCTTGTCTACAGATAAATGTCAGACACCAGATTATCGTGGTGATTGTCTGTTCTACAATGACACACCGACTAAGCCAGACAACTCGACACCAACTGCAACTGCAGCGATCGAGCCAGAGACTACTGAATAATAAGACTGCCTTTGGTGTCCCACAAGTCAATTCCTGAACCTGGTAGGGTGAACCTGACCCAGGCGTGTCTACCCAATTTTTTGCTCGAAACGGGAACTGGACAAATAAAGAGGTGTACATACATAGGTATGTTGTTGTTGTTTTTATAAAATGTAGTACATATGCACAGTAAATATTTAAATACTCTCGCTGCAAGTCGCACTGTCGCATATTTAAATATATATTTTTTAAATACACACAGAGTTCACTGTATTTATGTCCGACGAAACCACGGCAACATTATGATTATTGGCCAATAATATCCATCACTTTTTTTAGGATATAAACCTGGGGAAATATTCAAATAGTGGAGATGCCCAGACTCCAGAGATATTTGAAAAATATATAAACTGTTTTTACATATGTAGCCTACTGAAAAAGGCAGTTGAGACTTGAAACATTTTCTACGCTATTTAAATACTACGACGTTCATGGTAGCGTTATATTGAAAGCTTTACATTCTAGCTTTTTGATATTTGCTTGGCATCCAGTTCGTTCAAACCAACAGTATCTAAGCGATGTTTGAATGGATAGAGGATTTCAAATTGAAGGTCACTTCAAAGACATCAAGTCTTCTCTATGTCGATGACCAGTGCAGGTTCGTTTTAATGTAGTAAATATTCTCGATTTAAGGTTTGCAACCAGTTCGCTCGTAAAATAATGATGGAATTATTCAACCACGCCCGTAAAATGTCTTTGTATGTCAAGGGCATACATGACTATGTAGCAGTAAAATTATCTTCAGCACTATTCAATACTGAATATATATATATATACATATATATATATATATATTTATAGA